TCTGCTCCTGTTCCAACACAACAGATCAGCTCAGATCAAGCAGGAGGAAGAACGAGCACCACGAACAGAGAGAGCAAGAGCAGGTGTGATGTGACTGGGTACAACCAGCTGAACGAATGAGCTTATTTTAGTCTTGCTTGACACTTAAATTCTTGTCTCTTTAAATGTTGTGTCGTTTTGCCGGAGGTTAAGAATGAAAAGAATGCACAAATGGAGAAGGATGACACATTAAAGAGGCTCCGTCAGGCAAAAATAGGGACACTTTGAGCATATTCTCACAATAAATCAAACCCAGCTGCAGAGAACATTTGCTGATGTTCGCGAGCTTTATGGCTGCCTTTCAGTAACACCATGTTTGTGATCAGTGATATATATACATGTACATTCTTCTGCATATCATGAATAACAAGTAAAGACCTTTAAATATACTATTTTAAAATTTGAATAATTTCATGGTAAACATAAAGGATAGAAACTAAAGGGTGGCTACATCGGGGTAAATAAAGATGTTTTTATGAATAACGAGCGATCAGCAGAATGTAAAAGGAACAGTATTCAAAAATGATGTAAAGCAAACTGCTAGCATGAATCACAGAGCCTTTTATAGGCAAAGATGCCGTTTCTCTAAAGCTCAGCTGTAAGTTAAAATAAAATGTTAGCTGAAACAGCGGGACGTGTTGCATTAATTACTAATGAGCTCAAAAGCATCTGTAACATGAGCTAAGGAGCGCGCTCCCTGATTCGTTCCTCCTGACTGACCTGAAACCAGCCGCTGAGCACTTCAGTCTACCGACAACTCATTCATTTACTCATTATTTTATTATTAAAGGCTTCATTTTGGGTGACCTGAAGAAAGGAGAGACGTCACACTGAGCAGCTATTACACTGTGCCTCATTAGTTAACAGAGCCCTATGTATTAATTATTACCTGTTAGGGTTTAGATGTAAAATGAGCCCATAAGACGAAATCTGAGGTTTTTGTCATAGTTTCACATAAAAATGGCCTGAAATGTTCAGTGAATAAGCAAGTATCCTATGTTTAAAAAAAGTGTAAAGAGTGGAAACTCTAACCTTGAAATGAACAGCACCATACTTTCAGCTCTCTCTGGTCGTTTAGCGTGTTTTTAATCTAAATTAACTGTCAGTGACAGTGTTTTTTTAATTTATTTTACATTTTCCTACTTGTTTAACATGTAGATTATGTCTAAGGGCTGTAATCTATCTTTTCTGGGAGAAAGTAAACATACAACTCATTCTCTATTTTAATTATGAGTAAAAAAGCACAGAACAAATCAAATCTTATCTCCCTATGAAGCCCCTCAAGTTCTCTTTTTAATTATACGTGTGTGTGTGTGTGTGTGTGTGTGTGTGTGTGTGTGTGTGTGTGTGTGTGTGTGTGTGTGTGTGTGTGTGTGTGTGAGTGTGTGTGTGTAAAAGAGACACAGATAAACTTTTATCAGATTTTCAGTATCAGAGTCTAACATGTTTAAGTTCTGACAGAAGAGCGAGATTAAAAAACCATGAAAAGCAAAAAGAATTGCGATGCAGGCTTTAAAGTGTTACGGTGCCAGAAGATCAAGGCGTAATCTGTCTTTCATCTGCTAATGCTTCCTTTTAAAGATGATGATGGTGTGAGTGCGGGTGACCCACAACTTCTGTGCTGATGTGTAACACCTGAGTCTTTACAGGTGAGATGCAGCTTCCTGGTGTGATGTTTCTCAGCTTTGATTGCCCTCCCATACTTTGGTTTCAGGTCCACTTACTTCCCTTCCCTCTTTACAGGAGAACTTCTTTAGTTAGTTGAAGTGCAGAGCAGAAAAAAGTCAATGTCAAGACAGGAGAATAAAAAATCTTTCCAAGCTCTTTTGACAAAGATCCACATCTGTCTGAGAACAAATTGGGACGGTGCAGAAGGAAAGTTCAAACTTTAATAAGGGCCTTTTCTCATTAATATTACAAGCTTCTGCTTCACTTTCCGTCCTGCTCCCTCACGCTGTCCACATCGCTGCATTTTGTCATCCTTCTCGTGTGGCACTCGGAGCTTCTGCAGGACATGTCGCTCTGCTTCACTCTTCCTGAGTGTCATTCCCAGGATGTGTGCTGGCATCAGTGGCAGCTTGTGTATGCATCTCATCCTGTGGAACATTCACCAAGACAGAGAGAAAAGCGTCTGTCTCTGCACGCGTGTGTGTGTGTTTACGTGGTAGGCTAATGCTGAAGAACAGACGTATCCATCTGCTCTGATGCGCTGACCAGTGATGACTTGTCTGTCTGCCAGTCTTTCATTTACAGAGGATCAATCCAATCTATTCTCTAGGGCCACTGACAACAAACATTGGACGAAGGACTAGGTAGCAGAGCAGCTGCTGAACACAAGCACTGGTGCACGGAGGAAAAAGAAGAGACTAAAATGAAGGATGATTTGAAAAAAGTAGAAGGAGGGGATTAGTTAGCAGGGCTTTTATTATTTAGAGCAGAAAGGGAAGCTGGAAGCATACTGTGATCTGAGGTGTGTGATGGCAGTGTTAAAAGCTACTGTTGTTGCTGAGTGTCTTTGGCAGAACTACAACTGGCTTCTGTCTGTGCTCCGCATCTTCAGCCACACAACAAGTGTGTGTCTGTGTGTGCAGACATAAACACATTTTCTAAAGTCAGTTTTGTAGATTTGATTTATATTTTCACTCATGGTAAAGTGTTTAAAAAAGATGCTGCAACACCTCCTCTAAGCCCCTTATATTTTATGTAGTTCCATCAGTGCTTTGGCTTTATAATTACCCCATTAATGCGTTCTCTTGGGACAAACACACACACACACACACACACACGCACGCACGCACGCACGCACACACACACACACACACACACACACACACACACACACACACACGCACACACACACACACACACACACACACACACACACTCACGCACACATGCACACACACACACACACAAGCACGCGCGCGCACACACACACACACACACACACACACACAAGCACGCACACACATGCATAAAACATCTGCACAGTAATCTATTTGAGGTGGAATTACCCTCTGCACATTTTCACACAAACATGCAGAGCAGTTGATTTAATTTTTACTGTTTAGTTTGCTACAAGCTGCAGAAAGAAAACAGGAGGGAAACATACAGAGAATGGATATGAGAAACATAAATGGCTAATTTTATTATGTTAATCCTTAATGTGTCCAAATCCCTCCATATTTAAGCCTCATCATGAACTCTATCCTATTTCTGAACATGAGTTTTGGTTGTAAGAAAATTTATCCAATGTACAGGGGCGGTTCTAGGGGGATCCTGGGTGGGCCAATGCCACCCTGGCAGGACGCTTGGACCCCCCTGTAGCCCCCCTGATGTGGGTGGAGCCTAAACATATTAAATTAGGATTTTTTTGTAATGATTTAGCCAAGATGTGGAACCAAAGCACGTGAATGTAATTATCTGAAGTTGAAAAGAGGTGCTGCCTGAGACAAAAACTTTCATGTTGTTGCTAGACTGGTAACTGACATTTCAATGTTTTTTTATGTTACATTTTGAATCTTATTTAAAACTACTAACTAAATAGATGTTAAAGGTGTTGTTCACAAAAAAAAACTTTTTCAATTATTATTTCAGAGTTTTTCATGTAGGCTAAACATGAAAATAGGCTCCTACACCTATCTCCTGTATTAGCTTCTGATAGGAAATAGACGGTGAAGCGCTAGGATTTGAGAATCCTGACAGATCCACGTCACACTCTCTCTCAACATTCGTGGACCCACCAATCTTGACTTGTGACGGGGAAGGCTGTTGTTGTTTTAGCATCCAGGAATCAGCTGGCAATGTGTCAGGTCTAATTGGCTGAGCTGATGTTTGACAGAGGTTAATTGTAGCGTGGCTGTGTGACCCAGGCGCGGAGTGGTTGGCGGTGGGTTAAACAGAACACGCAGCTTTAATCTGGGAACGGCGACGCAGCGCTCGGCAGGAGCTGAGGCTGAGCGGCGGTTCCGACTGAACAAGGAAGCTGACTTACTGGTAGCAGGCAGCGAGGAAATGTCTCTTTCTTGGTTTGAGGGCTGGTGAGCTTGAGAACTCGGGTCAATGTCTGGCATGGACGATGACTGAGTGATAACTCAGCGGCAGCACTTCCGTAAATAGAGTCGGCGTGATGACGTCCTCCACCCACGCCTGATCCACGCCGGTGATGGGAATGCTGGGTAATGTAGTGCTCCGCCAGTCAGGTCCGTAAGGGGTGGTTAGGAGGAGGAGGAGTTCGTGACAGAATGTCCCGAGCATAGACGTAATTTTGGGGGGACATGTCCCCCCACGACATGTCAAGTCAAGTTTTAACCCCTGCACTTTTTACCATCCAAAAACAATATTACTTTATATCAAATTGACACTGGTTGAGCTCTAGGACCAAGCGGAAAACAACCGTTTGTGTTGAAGCCTGTTTCCCATTAGAACATACTGTAAAGACCCCCCCCCCCCCCAATACCCCACCCCCCCACCCCCCCTTCGTGTCCCCTGCACTTCCAAAGTGAAAATTAAGCCTATGGTCCCAAGTAGTAGAAGCTAACTGTTAGCATTAGAAACTTCACCACACAGAAAAACTCCTCATTTATTGTGCTGCTTGTGGAGATAAAACATCCACATTGCAAATCAGTGATAGAGTTGCATTGCTGTTAACCAGTCTAAAGCAAGACGTCCAAATATCAGCAAATAAGACTCCAAATCCTGCTGTCTGAAGCTCCTTTCTCCTCTGGCTGACTTCAGGCACAGCTGAGATGTTATTCCCCCTGAGAACGACTTACACGGCATTCATTCCTACCAGAGACCACTGCAAATGTTTTGATTAAACGGGTTTGCCACACCTTTAAAATATTTTTGTAATTTCTCAATAGAATTTGAAATTTAAAGGAAGAATGTGTAAGAATTGTAAAATGAAACCTCAAAACTGTCTAGAACATTCTCTGTCAACTTACATGCTGTGCTCTTACCTCTGTGTTTCTGCGCTGTACTGACCCCTTCCTACTTGATTGACAGCGCAGAGCCTGAACTGGTAGGTTCTGGCAGGTGTGAGCCCGCCCACCGACACCTCGGTCACTGACGGATCAACCTCGGACAAGTAGACCTTCCATGGAGAGTCTAGGACGGCACGAGACGCAGAGATTAGATGCTGATAATATCTGGCTGAGGAAGTACAAACGGAGACACTGCAATGCTCAGGGCCTATTAATCATAAGAAACGGTGCGGGGAATAGATAAAAGTGGCCAGTAAAAGGGGCCAGTTCTTGTAGCATAAAATAAAAACTTTGGATGGAGGAAGAGGATTAGTTAAGAAGCCAAGATGCTGTTTGTATATTGTTGCCATCTTTTTGCCAGCTTATCTTCTTGCTGAATATACCACAGACAGATGCACTATTATCCTTATTATCGCATCAGCCACATGTGTATTTGTGGAAGTGAGAAGGATAGTGAACAAGCATAGTGTGTTACAGTCATTGTCTGATATGAAAATACCTTGGACTCACAGAGCTGCAAAGTAGAATAAAAAAATAAATAAATCCCCTCAATGCTCAAAAACGCAGATCCATTCCTCACTGTCTGAGTTCATCCTTCACTGAAATCGACCAGTCAATTACACCCTCGTTCTATCCTCACTCTTTAGCTCCCAGCTATTGCTACATTTTCTCCCTTTTTTTCCATGATTGTTCCACTTTTATTATTATTTTTGGCTTATTTTCAGGGGGCTAATTGACAACGGCCCATGCATATTTCTCTAAAAGTCGTCAGAATGAGGGTGAACGATTGATATTTATTTGTTACTGCAGATTCTCAGTCAGGTGCGTAATGCTTGGATGTGCGTGTAAAGCTTGCCAACCTGTCCCCATTGCTTGCAGCCATCTCCCTCCCATCTGTTTCTACTGTCATTCTAGTCCTCAGTTCCTTTCTCCTCTAGCCGTGTCTCCTGCTCCCTCCTTTATCTGACAGTGAGCCAGCCTGCTGTTTAAACATCTGTGGTGGAGAGAGGCTACGACTCAAAAGGCAAAGACAGACAGGCTAAAGAGAGGCTGGAAAAAGATGGTTTATAAGGAACTTGTGCCTTTATCCTGCAACCCCGCTCTCCATATGTCTGTCAGCTGTTAGCCTCTTGAGCACCGTAAAGAACAATGACAGTTCCACACACAAATACATACTGTTCTCAGAGAGCTCCAGCACATAGTGAAGGAGAGGAGAGTTCCCATCGAAGGGGCGTAGCCAGGACAGGTGCACCGAGCGGGAGTCTGAATCATTCAGACGGGCCGTCAGTGAGCGAGGAGAATGTGGCAACTCACTGAAATAAACACGGAAAAATATACATTATTCTCATGAAAATATGGCCCCTCCTTTTGATATTTAATGATTAAAAGTGTGGAAAATTCAGAAAACATTTTAAAATGATTATTTCTCTTATTATAATCATATATACTACTACTACTACTACTACTACTACTACTAATAATAATAATAATAATGATAATAATAATAAAAATGACTTTTCAAAAAAGCACCTTTCAAGGGACACAAGGACACTTTACAACAATAAAATAACAACAAAGAAACCAAGTTAAAAACAGCAAAAATCACACACAGGAGCCTAAAAATACAAACTAGATAATAAAATCAATGAAAATGGAAAAGGTGACACTATCAGTATGCAGTCTGAAACTGGTGGGTTTTGAGTCTAGATTGAGAGGAGGAGAGCGAGTCAGAGTTTCGGATGGCTTGAGGGAGAGAATTCCAGAGACGGGGAGCAGAGCTGCTGTAGGCTCTGCTCCCCATAGTGCTGAGACGGAAAGGTGGGACAGAGAGCGTGATAGAAGATGGTGATCTGTGGGAACGGATGGGAGAGATAATGTGAATGAGGTCAGACAGGTATGGGGGGGGGGAAGGTGGATAGCTATCATGTCGTCTGAAGCTCTTCTCTGATGTGGTCATTTTCTAGTTCCTGAAAGTGGCGCACCGGAGCTTTTTCCCCCCCAGATTACGACTTACAGGGCTTTCATTCCTACTAGAGACCACTGCAAATGTGTCGATTAAACGAGTGTTCCACACCTTTAAAACTGGGGTAAAAAGTTTCTTTACTGAAATTAACTTAAAAACAATTCAAAGTATGTGACCTTTCATAATTTAAATTTCCTCTAAATCCCTCCGCTGGCCTCTACAGCAAGCAAACCATTTACGTGAGCATAGAACGTTCACACATAGTTTTGTATCCACAAAAGGGAGCTGTCAGGCAATGAGAATGCACCCCAGTTCCCAGCGTGCACTTCAAGGTGATTCCAGAAGAAGTTGGAGGTTTTCAATGGAACAATCAAAACAAGTACCGAAGTTACTGACTCCTCTATTGCCCTCTACTTTTCAAAGAAAATGTGAACTGTTTAAAAGTCCTTCTGTGAAATTGGCTGTGATACGTTTACAGCAGAAGAGTAAAATTTACATTGGTGAGGCTTAAAAAAGATGGAGGGGGCGTCGAGATCTACAATGGCTCAAAACTGATGAAGTTTCTTTGGACAGGTAAATACTAAGTATTTTTTGTGTTTTAGAGAATTGTAACTTAAATTTTATTTAAAGTGACAGTGTGCATTTTCCCCAGTGATAGGGTGCAGAACATTCCTAAATTATTACAAGCAAGCAGTATTTTTGTGTTTGAGTAAAGCCTGAGTCATGCTTCTGCATCTGCGGTGGTGCGGAGACACGCAACGCCATTATCCGTCCTTGCAGGCCTGCTGGAGAGCCCCGCAAGGACGGACAGAGTCGAGCTCTCTTTTCTAAACACCCGTCCATCGAGACGGAGAACGCAAGCTGGTGATTGGTCAGGACGCCGCTGTTGTCTACACCGCCACCATTGCGCCCTCAAAAACATAAAGAGAGCCGAGGATAAAAAACCTAAAAACATGAGCGTTTCATTCCCCCGTGACTGGAGGAGTGAAAAGATACGCAGCAAGCGTTTTATTTGTGGACGTAAATGACAGGAAACGTGGGTTTAGAGGTGGCGAACGCATGAAAAGGTGGTGGACAATGAGAGACAAATGTGTCTGCGTTAAAAAATCTCTTATATTCAAAAAACACAATATAAACACATTATCTCGGACCATATTCATGACAGGATACGACAGAACAGCGCTACGCCCTCTGCTGTCCTGGCGGGGAATTGCTTTGCAACACTCCCCAGGAGACGGAGAAGTATGAAGGCAAAACACCTCCGTCCGTGCGTGCATGTCTCTCCCTTTTGGAGCTGATGGAGAAGCATGACTCATGGCTTTGGACCTTACTAACAGATGGCCATAAGGGTCCAAAACCATTTGGAGCGCAACTACCAGCAAAATTACAAACACATCAGACTCCCTTGCATCACTGGCAATGAGTGAAGCACTGGCAATGAGTGAAGAGGTAAATTTGGAAAACAACGTTTACGAAACTGTTTGTTACAAATCAGTAAATGTGTTTTGTCCTCACGAGCTCCCATGGAAAGAAACATGCCTAAAATGGCGTCGCCCGGAGACTTGTATTTTAGACCCAATTTTTATAGTTATGTGCCAATATTTTTCAATTGGGCATCATTTAATACATTTTTCAACAACATTTCAATAAATATTTCCAGAGATTAATGGTAAAAACCACACATACTCTCTTTGAATAAAAAGAAATATCAGAGCAGATAATTGTTGGGGTGGGCTAATGTGGTGCTAGCTTGAATGCTAACTTTACCTGTGCTGAATTAATGTTAGTCTGTAAACTTCAAAAGGACGGGAATAAAAATGGATTTATCTTTTGTGTGCTGGAGCTAAGCGATTAGCATTAGCATTCAACCTCACACCACATCAGACTATTGTTTTAGCTGTCTTTGTTGACTCCGCTTTTCCTGTGGGTGCGCGGCATGAGGCGCGGCTTTTGGTTCCTTCCAGAAGATCATAGACAAAACTTTAACAACATTTCAAGAGCTTCAAATCAAAACTGATGGTTAGCAAGCAATTTCTTTCACTTGAACGAAAAAAAAAATCCCTGCCAGTTACAGTAAATCTTTGGAATCTGGGATGATTTACTCCCATGAATTATTGATATCACTTTTGTTTGGTTTCTCAACATTTCTATAGCACCAAGCTCCTGGTCCTATCTACTGAAACTAAAAACAGGACATACATCATGAGAGCCAATAAATTCTCATCATGAGAACTCTAAGATGACTTTGGACACTTGGCCAACACATTCCTAGCTGCATATGTTGCCAAAGAGACTTAGAAAATCAATTCTGCAAGCCAAGAAAAGTTTTTCCGTAAGCACACAACTCATAATAATGTAGCTTGTAGTTTTTTTTTACACTTCATGTACAAATTAGGCAAACAAGATATAATGTGTTAATTAGTAAGCTTTGGATGTGCTGGCAGGATCTTTATCTCACTCTGACACACTTGAATGAGGTGTTTGTTCTGGGTCTGGTCACTCTGCCATGCTAATGTAACTAAGTGCTTGTTATAGCTTCAGATTTAGCATCAAAACAACATAACGATGCTAATCCCCGTAGATCACTTCTGGCGAGACTTTTAAACATCCACATTTAGACAAAAAGGGTCTGTAATTATAATAATTATGCTGCTGTGACTTAGAAACACATCTCTGACGTTACATGTAGAAACACAGATTTGATATTCAGAAAAATATGTGAAGGTGCAATAAAATAGTCTCTCTTTTAATACTTTTTTCTGGCCCAGGATCAGTTCCAGTGTCAGTTATTTTTTAAATATGGCTGCAATTGACTTATTTTTTTAATTCTTTGCACGCTCTGTATCACAACAAATACATCTCACTGCATCTATTAAAAAGAAATTTTGCAGACGTTTACCCATCCCCTGCAGATATGTGTGCATCCCTACCATGTTATTAACAAGGAAGGCCACGCAGATATTTTAATGAAAGCAATAAAAAGGTATCCAAACATTTATACCAATTTATGTGTATCATAATTCTCTTTTTAAAAATGTGTGGCTTGTAGGTGATTGTGAAGAAAATAAAAGTGGAAATGTGTGTGATTTTCTGTGTGAAGGAGGCAGGAATATTTACAAGCAGCATGGAGGAAGCAAATACATTTATTAAAGGTGAAACCATGATAAAAGAGATAAGCTTGTGTGCTGCAGACATGCTGCATGTCATATTCATAAGGTTATTAATTATTTCTATGCAATCACAGATGTGCGAATGTGCTGTCCAAGGCTTGTCCTCTAAGAAGGAGCAAACGGAGATTAGTGCCTCTACATAATGAATGTTTAGCAGGTTTATATTTTTGCTTGAGTCAAAATTCAAAGTGAATCAAGAAAACCAGAATCAGGAAGGCAGTGAGTGAGAGAGGAGCCGGAATAATGAGATGCAACTTGGAGAGAAAAGCAAATCAAACCTTGAAAGCGGTGAGAGAAACAGGAAGGCAGGAACAGGAAATGAAAACATTTTAATTTCTGAGCTGACACCATCATATTAATTAATGGATGAAATTAGAGCAACTACCTTCACAACCGCTCCCACAAAAACACACGCACCCACGCTCTCTTGCAGACACATGAATGGGTCTTACGGGAGTTGAACCAATAACCTGCCGGTAATTAGTCTGTCTCCTCAGCTGCCAGCATCTGTTAGCCTCTATGACCCATTGATACAGAGCTAACGAGAATGTCAGTCACACGCGTGGACGCACGCTCACACACACACTCGTGCAGAAAGCTGAACAGATCTCCCTTCGTTCCCCTTGTGTTTTCATGCAGCTGTAAACACAGAACTGCTCCCTCCCTCAGTGTTTGACATGTGTAACCTCTTTTCTCTTCATAATTCAGATGGATGTGGACTCATGTTCTTCTCTCTCCTACCCTACAATTATATTAATATATCATAAGTGCCTTTTTATAAATATATTATCAAAGTGCCTATTAATATATAAAGGCCACTACCTGTTCTGGCACAGGAGTTGTAATGAGACTGTGTGGGTCGGAGCATGGAATACATTTAAATATTTGAGTGTGGCATGTTTTAATGTGGCTGCCAGGAGTGCCAGACTCACAGTGAGAAATATTTGGAAACTGATCACTCAAAAAACATGGAGGCACTCGTATCTTGACTTTTCCAATGTGAAAGAGGAGGGGTTGTGCAACATGGCTTCAAGTCAGATACATGTATGTATGAATGAAAATATCGATACACTGAAATACCGTGATATTTTGATTTGGGCTGCAGCTATCAAATACTTTTGTAACCGAGTACTCTAATAAATAACCCTTTTGTGTTTGTAAACTATTATATCAAATAGCA